CCGCGACCTGGCCCCTGCGCGGCTCGCCTGCCGGGAGTCCTGGCGCCAGGTGCTGTGAGCTGCCCCGAGGGCGTACGTGGAAAGTGGTTTCGTACCGTCCAGGGTTGTCTTCCGCGTCTTTGCTGCTTCCTCTTCGGTCTCTGGGTGGAGCAGCCTATACCCCCCGCTCAGGGGCTCAGTTTGGACTCTTCTGCGAAGTAGAATAGAACGGGCGGCGCGTGGGTTTTGTCCGGTCCCCAAGCGCTGCCTCAAGCTGGAGATGCTGCACTTGTGAGTGGCATGGGTTCTTTTGAGTTTCCGCACGTCGAGAGTTGCGGAGCCTGCATTTCAGAAGCTGCGTGGGTGAGGAGCCACATTATTTTTTCACTTTGGGAGAGTAGCCGTCTCTGGGATTTGTTTAAGATCCCATCTTTACTGCAAATTACCAGGTTGCATCTTCACGGATTGTAGTACATGTGGTGTATCTTCTTTTGGTTGTATGTGAATGAATTGATCTCCAACTTATTTCTTTTTCTATAATATTTGTCTTCTGAAAATCCGTTCCAGCAGGTTTCCCCTCTTTTATCTTGAAAGTTAACCACGGATTGGAAATGAAAAGCAAGAGAATAGATCAGAGTGGGGCGGGGTGGTGGGAACCGATGCTTTCTTGAGTTTTCGGTTCTGTGGTGGTTTTTAAAACTAGGTATTATTGCAGTTTTTGCATAATATGCATTCAGATAGATTTTACCCCCCTGGGTGGAGCTCTCTGTGATCCTGGTAGTTGAAGTAAATACACTTGGACAGGCTTTAGCGTCTGATGCATAGCTCCTCAAATGGACCTGGAAAATAATTAGGGAATGAGAAAAGTTACCAGCCTTTAAAAAGTCATCTAGTTCTTGTCCTTGCCTTTACTGTAGGTTGTTGTATATATGTTATAATATGACTCATCTGTTTTCGTTTGGCTTAGTATGAAGTGTTTGGTGTTTGATAATTCAGATTAATTTATTCAGAAAGTCGTTCTTGAAGTACAGTTCCCTTAAAAAATAAGAGGTAATTCCCATCTTTGTTAGAAATGAAAGTCTAGCAGTTACATTGGTTTTGATTTAGCCTTAGGCTTCAGCATGTTTAGAAAGAAATTATATAATCGTTAAAAAGAAAAGATTACCTATATCCCATAATCGTATGCTTTTGTTGCAGGAAAATATTAGATCTGTTAAAGAAGAAATTTAAGGGAAATGTACATTTTTAAATAAGAATTTAAGAGCGAGATTGAGGGATTAAAACGATTTTAAGTCAACTGACAATATAATCACGATTTTCAATGGTTTTATTTTGTTACATGCAGCAGATTTTGCTGCTGCAAGAATTTCAGTAGTCTCCAAGAGAGGAGAATACTTCCTGTATTTCTTACACCCTTATCTTAACTCACTGTTCCAAATTATATTGTGCAAGTTTTATATTGCAAAATTTAGTTTTGCAATTAGTCCAGTTAAAGCTGTATGAAGGACATTTTAATATAAGCATTCCATCATAGGGTTTTGGTTACACTTTAGTGGATGCAGTCACCTTCATGTATTATGGTTAAGAGTATATGGATATTTGTGAGTTTGCAAAACGGATGGGATTTTTATGAACATTTAGTCTGTGTTTGGAAAACATTTGCCTTTAATTTTTTATTGTTGCTCCTTATGAGAGCATTCTGCTTTTTCTTTGTGCAGTGGTTGATAGCTGTGGATATGGTGGTTTTTTCCTTTGCTTTTTACTCTTTTTATGTAAATAATATGGTTATGGCTGGAGAGTTGTGTTGACCTAAGTATTTTAGACTGAAATGCATACAACCAAAAAGTATTTTTATTGAAGTATTATTGGGGAAATGAACAGTGCACATAATTGATGATCAAAGAGTACCTTTATCCTGAAGGTATGTATGAAGTTGGCATTAAAAAGTCACCCATGTGATTTTCAGCATAAGGTTCAAGTAATATTTTACCTGCTATAATACTGAAGAATTCTACCTGTCTACAATTTATAGTGCTTTGCTCGACTTGTCTTTTGAACTTAATAACCATTATTGTATATTTAAATATTTTATTAATAAACTTTTGCAACAGGTTATATATGAAGTCATATATTCCCAGGAGCAGTTTTGTTATGTTAGAGATACAGTCTTTTAACTCCGTTGGTTAAATAATACACTAAAGTTTATAATTTAAAAAGCTCTTGGAAATTTTTTTTTATATATTTGTTTTTAGTGTGACTTTATAGACATAAGATATGTGAGATTATTAACCCCATTCTACAGATGAGGAAGACAGGAAACTGAGCCCTGGAGAATTTAGTGATTTGCCAAAGGTCCCTTAGCACAGCAACCCCATCGTTCAGCAGAATATATACAACACTGAATCTAGTTAGAAAGGGGTACCATTGAAACCCCAGTAGAGTGGTTTGAATCAGCAAGCTTTGGTCAACAACACAGCCATAGATTGTACACCTAAACCTGGGTTATTGTTGGGTGCTGTCGAGTTGATTCAGACTCATAGTTACCTCATGTGACAGTAGAACTGCCTTATAGGGTTTTATTGGCTATAATCTTTACTACGGAACCAGATCACAAAATCTATCTCCCTCAGAGTTGCTGGCTGGGTTTTAACTGCCCACCTTTTGGTTTATGTTTAAGAATAAGTAAGGTGAGAGCATGGCTAATATATAGCCCATGCTTCATCTTCAGCTAGAGCTGGACCCTTGGAAGGTCATGTAACACTTTGGACTGACTTGCTTCACCTGTACAGGGATGACCTGGGTGATGACTTGAATCACAGAATGTTCAAGTTGGAAGGAACCTTAGAGAGTATGTGCCAAGTCTACCCTCTTTTACTTACACAATTCCTATTTCTACGCTCACAAGAATTTTAACCTATCGTGATACCACAGAACTAAAACATCAAAATTGGACTTTTCCACCATTTCCAAAGTTGAGATACCTTAAAATTCTTGGATGAGAGTTGATTCCTCTCTCAATCTTTCCTCATATAGTATCTCAGTTTTATATTATATGTAGACCAAATATCCATTGTATATAAATGTGTTTGTGCTGTTTAGAGTCCATTTTTTTGAACCTGTCGTTGTTAGGTGCTGTCGAGTTGGTTCCAACGCATAGCTACCCTATGCACAACAGAATTAAACACTGTCTGGTCTTGAGCCATCCTCACAATCATTACTATGTTTGAGCCCATTGTTGGAGCCATTGTGTCTGTCCATCTCGTTGAGGGTCTTCCTGTTTTTTGCTGACCGTCTGTTTTACCAAGCATGATGTCTTTCTCCTGATAAACCATATTGAAAGTATGTGAGATGAAGTCTTGCAGTCCTTGCTTCTGAGAAGCATTCTGGCTGTACTTCTTCCAAGACAAATTTGCTCATTCTTCTGGCAGTCCACGGTATATTCCATATTCTTTCCCATCACCGTAATTCAAAGGCATCAGTTCCTCTTCAGTCTTGCTTATTCATTGTTCAGCTTTCACATGCAAATGAGGTGATTGAAAACACCATGGCTTGGGTTGTTAGGTGCACCTTAGTCATCAAAGTGACACCTTTGCTTTTTAAGATTTTAAGGAGGGCTTTTGCAGCAGATTTGCCCAATGCAACACGTTGTTTGATTTCTTGACTGCTGCTTTCATGGGCGTTGATTGTGGATCCAAGAATAATGAAATCCTTGACAACCTCAATAGGTTTTTGAACCGAGTGAATATTATTGCTGGAGCACATATTAAAATCACCAAAATTTGAGAAGTTTGACATAAAAAACATTTTTTTTTTTATTGTGGTGAAATATATATAAGAAAACATTCACCATTAAAATTTTTTTTTTCTTTTTTTTAAATATTGTACTTTAGATGAAGGTTTACAGGACAAACTAGCTTCTCATTAAACAGTTAATACACATATTGCTTTATGACATTGGTTACCAACCCCACGACATGTCAACACTCTCCACTTCTCGACCTTGGGTTCCCCTTTACTAGCTTTCCAGTCCCCTCCTGCCTTCTAGTCCTTGCCCCTGGGCTGGGGTGTCCCTTTAGTCTTGTTTTGTTTTATGGGCCTGTCTAATCTTTAGCTGAAGGGTGAACCTCGAGAGTGACTTCATTACTGAGCTAAAAAGGTGTCCAGGGGCCATACTCTTAGGGGTTCACCAGTCTTTGTCAGACCAGTAAGTCTGGTCTTTTTTGTGAGTTAGAATTTTGTTCTACATTTTTCTCCAGCTCTGTTCACGACCTTCTATTGTGATCCTTGTCAGAGCAGTCAGTGGTGGTAGCTGGACACCATCTAGTTGTGCTGGACTCAGTCTGGTGGAGGCTGTAGTACTTGTGGTCCATCAGTCATTTGGACTAATCTTTCCCTTATGTCTTTGGTTTTCTTCATTTTCCCTTGCTCCAGATGGGGTAAGACCAGTGGACTATCTCAGACGGCTGCTCAGAAGCTTTAAGACCCCAGATGCTACCCATCAAAGTAGAATGTACAACATTTTCTCTATAAACTATGTTATGCCAGTTGAGCTAGATGTTCCCTGAGACCATGGTCCCCATAGCCCTGAGCCCAGTAATTCGGTCCCTCAGGGAGTTAAAACATTTGCTGTTTTAACCATTTTTATATATACAGTCAGTGAAAATTATATTAACCATATTGTATAACCATCACCTCTGTTGCCAAATTGTTTTCTCACCCATACCGGAAACTAACTATAGTACTCCTTAAGCAATACTTCCCTATTTCCCCCTCCCAGTGCCCCCGCTGTTGTTATCTCCTGTCGATTTGACTGTGACTCATGGCGATTGTAAAAATGTCGGGCGGGCGTGTGTGACCTCCTCTGACTTCTGGGGTAGAGAGAATTATTGTTAGCATCAGTAGCTCAAGGCTGATTCCTATGAGGTGGGGGTCAGACATGCCTCCACCTTCTAACCATCCCTACCACAGCACTTCTCTGCTGGGCTCCATAATTCATTGCAGTGGCCACACAGAACTCACAGACCATACACAGTTATGGGGTTTATTAGGGAAGTAACAGGTTACAATTAGGTTCAGGAACATTTAGGATACAGTTCTTTGATCAGGACAGCCTCTTCTCAGCCGGGCAGCAGGTGGGCCTCTCTCAGGCCCTCACCCCCCGAGTGGCCTCCTGGGCTGGCCTGGCCTCTGCCCTGCTTAGGCATGTGTTACAAAACTCTTCTAGCTCTGTCAGTAAGTGCCTGGAGGCACCGCGCTCCACCAGTAAGCCTCAGCCCAAAGGCACTCAGCTAGTTCAGTGGGTTGGCAGACCTAGCTCCACCAAGTGCCTGGAGGCACCTTACTCCAGCAGCAAGCTTCCTTCC